GGTTTTAAATCCAGCTTCATAAAGCCCAGCAGTTTTATTTCACACTTTGGTTTCAATTTGCATGGTTTTGCAATCCCAAAATTCAAAATGAAACTAATTTGACATCACCTGGTATCTACATAAAACCATAAATCTGCCCGGGGTCAATGAAAAATTCAAAGGCATGAGCATCTCAGTGAACCTGAGCTGAGTTTCAAATTTACTGCAAAACCAGAAACGAAGCAAGTTTATAGATTCATGGATTCCAAAGCCAGAAGGGACTATTGTGACCATCTAGTCTGACCTCCTATATAACATAGCCCATAGAACTTCCCTAAAATAATTCCTAAAGCAGATCTTTTAGAAAAACATCCAATCTTGATTTTAAAATCCTCAGCGTTGGAGAATCCACAACAGTATTTGGTAAGTTGTTCCAATGAGTAATGCACAATTTTATGTGGCTTCTGTTTTTTATAAGAAAAATTAATGCGGTTCGAATCTAAAATTATAGTCAAATCTTGCATATGCCGTCATGACTTTATTATCCCAAAATAAAGAAATTCCAGTTTGGAAAATATTCCCAGTGTTCAAAAGAATAGATACGTAAATACACAATAAAGTAAACAAAACCTGGACATATTGATCCAAAAATTTAAGGAGATAGGAATTGTTATCTCCATATAGAATAGACCTCCCCATTCATCTTGGGGGTGTTGTGCATGCAAAACAGTAATAAAGTAAAACTGTCACAAATGTTCCAACAAGTCTTGAAAAATGTTTAATTACTACACAGCTACTCTTTTGAAAACAGGTCTCTCAGAGAAGAAGGAAGCATGAAATAGAGGGGGGTCTAGTTTGCTAATGTTTTTATAAAGTAGAGGGGTTCCATGTTTCCCGTAACAAGTTCCAATCTACTTCTGTTCTATTTAAATGATTTAAAACAAAACAAACCCCTATTTATTTTAAAGTTATAGGTGATATTCTGGCTCCATTGAACTCCCCTTGCCAACGTATTAAGATTTCACCCCATAGCGACATACTCGGCATATTGGACTAGGTTTATTTTAGGGGTCCCTAAAAAGGTTTATTTTGATCCCCTTACTTAATGGAACTGTTCTCATAGTAGGGTACTATTCTGTGTAACTGGGGGTGGAGGAGTTAAAATGAGACCCAAAATGGCTTTATTTTGTTGGGTGAGTAGTCATGAGTAAATGAAATAGACGTTGCAGGTTATTTATGTGACTGCTTAGTGCCCTGAAGTATCTTTTGTAGACACCATATGTAAAATATAGATTATGCTTCAAACAGATATTGTAAAATGCAGCCAAGCATATCTAAATGTATTTTATTCTGTTGGTATTTCTAATGGCTTTCATTAGAAAACTGTTTCCTTTCAAATACCATTGAAATGAAACCAAATCGTGCAAGAGACTAGTAATGTGACAGATGCTACATCTGTAGCTTTGGAAATGTAGTTGTCACTACAGGGGATCTTTCGCACTGAAGACCCACAGGAGCCCATAACTAAAGCTGAGTAAATTAATCTTCCAGCACATCTCATCAAAAATATTCTGTTTAATAGTAAGCAATAGAAGCACAGATGAACTCCCATTGTAGAGACATTTTTTATCTTCCTTTTACAGTATGTATTTTTTATTTCTTTTGTATCTCTATTGTATTTCTGAACTCTTATAGTAACTTTGAGAAGAATTTCAGTATTTAGTCTAGGCAAAGCTTTCTGGTCATTGTGCTATGGGTTTTTTTTTTATTTAATTATTTATTCAAGGCTGTTAATATGTCACAAACTGTAGCCTAATCTGTGTACCATTATTACCTTGAGGGACACTCCCTCTGTTAACACCAATGAAGGTAGACAGGCTCTCTTTATTTTTCACTTAATAAACCACCTGACATGGTCATGATGTTGCATAATTTTGTTTCACCTTTTTTGTCTTCTCTGGGGCAGGGACTATATTTTTATTCAGTCCTTTTCGATTAATACTCAAGTAGGAATCTATATTTTCATAACTTTATCTGGCATTCTCTGTCTTTATGGTAAAAAGAAATAGTTTTCCTCTGTGACACATAGTGATAATATGACACAGCTTGACACTGACAGCTTATATAAACAGAGTAAGACTGAGACAGTATACAACAGCGCAGGTGTGACTGTGTGTGTTAATTTGTCTGAGGCTCGGTAGTTCTATCTGATTTAATACTAAATGTACACATGGATCTGAACCCCAGGAGTAGGTTTGGATCCAAATTTCTAGCTGAAACATATCTTTGTAATGAACCAAATGTGAATATGCTACAATTTGGGAAGGTTCAGATTTGGGTCTGAATTTCAAATTCCCAAATTTTGGAGGATTTGAACCAAAGTTTGATCTAGAGCAGAGGTGGGCAAACTTTTTGGCCCGAGGGCCACATCTAGGTGGGGAAATTGCATGCAGGGCCATGAATGTAGGGCTGGGGCAGGAGGTTCGGGTGCAGGAGGGGGCTCAGGGCAGGGAGTTGGTGTGTGGGAGGGGTGCAGCAGGGGGTTTGGGTGTGGGATGCAGGAGGGATTCGGGGTGCGGGCTTTGGCCCGGCACCGCTTCCCTGGAGTGGCTGCAGGGTGGCAGCGGGGCTAAGACAGGCTCCCTGCCTGCTCTGGCCCTGTGCCGCTCCCAGAAGCAGCCGACACCATGTCCCTGCAGCTCCTGGGGGCAGGGGGGGAGGCAGAGGGATCCGTGTGCTGCCCTCCCCTGCGGGTACCTCAGCTGAAGCTCCCATTGGCTGTGGTTCCCCATTCCTAGCCAATGGGAGCTGCTGGGAGCGGTGCCTGGAGGCGAGGGCAGCGCACAAAGCCCTCTTCCCCCTCTCCCCCAGGGGCTGCAGGGCTGTGGTTTCAGCTGCTTCCAGCAGCGGCGCGGGGCCCACGGCACCACAGGGGTGGCAATCCCGCTGGCCAGATCCATAGCCCTAATGGGCCGGATCCGGCCTACGGGCCATAGTTTGCCCACCCCTGATCTAGAGGTTTGGTTCAGCCCACTGTAGAAATAAGAAGCTGGCATCCAGGAATTTGGATTAGGCCCAACAATGGCAGAATCAACAGAATTTATATTGTATCTAAGAATGACCAAAGTCATTGTTCTATATGCATGCATGAGATTACTCACAGCTGAACTGAAAAATCTGGGGAGGAAATTAGTTCAACCCACAGCTATGTGTTGCTAGATTATTCTAAACCTAACCTCTTCTTTTTGAAATAATGGTCTCCTGTAATCCTGCCAGTCAATTTTCTATTATTTCATTGCTCCAGAACTCTTCGTCATTTTGTCATACCAGCGACTCTGCTAGATGGAGGAGCTAGAACATATAGTTTTGAAAAAGTTTAAAAATTAATGTTCTATCCCAAAGGCTGCAAAATAATGTTTTTTTCAATGTAATGGAATATGTAACCCATCCAGCTCCATTGTCCAACAGGTGTCTCTAGCTGTGACATGTGAAAGGATGGGTTTGGGGGCACCACAGTGACTGGAAGAACAGCACAGGAGCTAAAATTAATGCTTTAATAAAAAAAAAGGAGGGAAGCAGATTTACAATAATTTACATGCTGAGTCCTTTGCTAATTGTGTCATAAAACATAGTTGCAGGGTTAACTAATTTGGAGTGGGATGATGGAGGGAATAACAAATTATCTTTTTTAAAAATATGATATGGTTTAAAGGTTTTCAAAGAACTCAGCCCTAGGTACTGCCAGTGCTATTCTTCTGTAGAAAGGTTGAGGTAAAAGTACAACTGCATTTACCTCTCTTTGTAACCCTCCACCTGGCTTTCTAGTTTCCACTGTATCAGACAAATTGCTCATCTTCACTTTTAAGTTCCTTCAAAGATTGGCCCTTCCCTCCATTTAATCTCTTATATCCTAGCAACCATCGAGTTCTGCCAATGATGCCTGCCTTTGCCCAGTAGTCCAATTTTCCCTCAAACACCTTCCTGTTTTTACTATGCTGCCTTTATGCATGGGAATTGCTCCTTGTAACAAACTGTGAAGTCACTATGTTACACTCCTCCAAATCCAGCCCTAAAACTCATCTCTGCTGTGATGCCTATAAAACACCTGACAATGGTGAGGTAGCTGGTTGCTGTGATCACTGCTTATCATATAACTGACTGACTGCATGACAAGGTGGAGTGAGGCATGAGGAACCCCTGCAGCATTTTCCCCACTCTTCCTCTGTCAGGAGAGGGAGAAGGCTGAGGCAGTAACAGCGAAGAAATAGCATATGTCTCTAGCCTCTTCATTTTCATGGGGACCCTGTTTAAGAGTTAATACAACCAGAATGTGAAATTTAAGTGGAGGATTTCAGTGGACATTGCCCCTAGGTGAAGGCCTGTCAGCATAAGAGTTGAGGAGAGCCTCAGGAGTACCTCAGAGGCCCAGATTTCAGAAGATATTGGACAATCCATGGGTTCTGGGGGGGCCAATCTCTCTGCTTCTACTGCAGGATACAAGAGTCAAAACCACTGGGTTCAAAGGAATCTTTGGAAAGGGAACCTTGAAGATTTTCCTCCCACTCTGTCCCCTCCCATGGTAAACCTGGGCTGTAAATCTTAGGCTATGTCTACATTGTAAATGAAGCTGTGATTGTAGCATGGGTAGGAATACCCATGAAAGCTTTGATTGAGCTGGTCTGGGTAACAGTGATAGTAAAGTTGTGGTGATGCGGGCTAGTCGCCTCACTACATGCCCATTCGGGATTCTGTGTATGTTCTCTGGTTGCTGGCCCACACCAGGATCTGTACTCCCTCATCTTCACTGCTATTGTTAAAGCTAGCAAAATTTAGTACCAGCTCTAGCTAAATTTAAATTAGTGAGGGTATGCCTACCCGTGTTGCAATGACACCTGCATTTGTGGTGTAGATGTACCCTTAGAGCGTACACAAGTTAACTAAAAAGGCGAACCTGTGGCATGAAGTAAATGACCTGATTTGTTTTATGCATATGAGAAATCTAATTAATGTTTTTCTTACAGAAACCTGGAATCCTGAACAAAGAAAAGATTTGGTCACAGAATCTGTATTCTGAACAGTAAGTAGTTTGATTACACACTATAAAGATGAACATTGGTTTTTTTACCCCACTGTAGGTAACTTTCCACATTTGCCTTTCTTCTACCTGTGTAAGAAATTTAGTGTAGTAAGCAGTTTCTGCCTTCTCTGAAAACTCAATTTCATTTCACTGGAGTGGATTTTTATTAATTTACCCAATAATCCTCTTAGATAAGATCATGATAATCCATGCAATGTATCTTTGGGTCAGTACATAGTGAAAATATTGGTGTTGCTTTTACTTTTTTTGTTTTGTTAACAAAAGTGCATTGTTGTAATACTTGAAATTAGCAAAGTAATAAAGAATAATCTGAAAATTGGTCAAATCTGGGATTCTATGTAGTTTAGTGATAAAACAATAGCTGGCTCTTCGGTTTGAGATATACAATTCATTCAACGTGGACAGGGTGAGGAGAGAATTCTGTGTGCTCATGTTATCTCTTTAATCATTAGTTCAGAATCACAAAGTGCTGACATAGTCACCTACAAGCTTAAAACTTACAGCTGTTCTGTAAAGATTAGTCTTTGATTTCTACTGCTTCATAATGCATCAGGAAATTAAAATTGTCTGCAGAGATCAGACAATGAACCATGATGTCTGTGTTGTGAATAATATTGGTATCTTCTTTTAAAAGAATTTTTCAGGTTGGTGATGAAGTTCAAATTGTGGCCTGAAAAAAATGCAGACAGTGTTTTTATTTCCAATCCTCAATAGTATTCTTTGCAGAAAGTAGCAAAAGGTATATTAGTCCTGTATCTTTGGGTATCAGAAGTGACAACTCTCTAATAATCAGCATAAATAAATGTGTTTAAAGCATTTCTATTTACAGTTCAATCCAAACAGCTGGTGTGCATTATGCACTAGTAGAGGCTGCCTCTTTGTGGCAGAATATTGTGGGCAATGTGTATTGTACATAAGACATATACTATTCTTTACTATGCTTTGTATACTGTATAGTGGAAATGAGGGCCTTTTCATGGTCATATTTGAAATCTCTATTCAGATAACTAGTTTGTTGTATAATCCTAAATAGACTAGAATAGAATCACACATTGCGAAGACTCTTCAACAACACAGTGTGGCAATATACTTTGGCTGCATAGAAGATCCATGGGAGGCCGTGGGGGGATTTATATATGTAAGTTTTTAAAAGCCAGAATACAGCCCTTGATCTCTGTATGTACCCAGGTTCAGTGAATGGTTTTAAGATTCGGTTAATCACTGACATCATGAAAAGAATTATGTGACATTCTGTTAAGCTGCGTCAAGTGGTACGCTTCTTTGAAAACCTTAAGCTCCATCTTTGCCGTTGTTCATATAGCACCCAAAAGTAGGCACTTTACCAGCATAGAGTGAATGCATGCCCTATACCGCTTATCTAAAAAGAATGCAACATTTTTAAACGTTTTATCCATCAACTAGTATAATGATTGCAACCAACCCTGAGCTCTTATTTTCCATTTTTAACTACACTAAATATATTTTTATTATTGCAAAATATGTTTAATTTTTTACGCTTTGTTCGTTCCCTGCAACTTTTGTCCGTTCTCCCCAAACTTTACTCTTTCCTGCAATTGTTTTTCACCATTTCCTACTAATCATAACCCCATCCACTCCTCCTCCCCACCATATAGCCACACAACAACCCCTAACCTCACTTAGTTTCTCACCACGCACTCCTACCCAAAAATCACCTGTCTTCCTCTTCACAGAGTTGGCTTTTAGTATGTTTCAGGTTAAAATATTACAGTATACAAATCAGCCACTATGGATAAAATTGAAATTACAAGCTAAACTTGTGTCCTAAACTAGGCAAAATGCTTAATTTCCAAGTGTAGTATGGGATAGAGGCCATGTGTGTCAAGGCAACCTGATAATGCAGTGAATAGGTTCTCATATATATATCTAAGGAAATTGAGAGGGATTGCAAAACATGAAATATGGATGAACTGTTGCAATTTGTATTTGAAGTTAGACCTGCAAAAGGATAGCTTTTTGACATTGGAAAAAGGTGCAAATAAATCAATTATAATTTAGCCTCAAAGGTTTAGGTTCTAGCAGTAGATCATTCATGGAGGTGTGTGTACATGGATTGTAGCAACTCCCCAGTATTTTGTATTGCATTAATGGTTTATGCATTACAAAAAATTTCATGAACCTCTATATTTCTGTCTATAGAAGGTGAATTTCTCTATCCTCCCTACACATTCACATACTCTCACAAATCCTCCTCACCTGTCTTCCAGAACTTTTTAAATAAAACAGCTGTTTCAAAAGAGTGTGAATTTATTTGTGTACACGGAGAATAAATTAATCAACTTTCACTGGTGCTCCATCACATACAGATTCCTTCCCTCCCGCTGGCAGAATAGGATGATGGAACCTTTTCAGAGAATCCATTACTTAATTTATCAGTCATGGTATTATGGTTATAGAATACAAATGCCCTATCCATAAATATATAATTACAGAAACGGAAAAATACAGTGATTATTTAACATTTGTAATACATAATTTATTTAATATCCTCTTTGGAGTATATGTTAGAAATTAAAATAAACATAGAAATTTATTTTTATCTTACACCCATCATCTTCAATAAGTCACATTACTAATTTGATCAGGCTATACATCCAATCATATAGAGTAAATTCAACTCACATTGGCTTTGTACCATTCAGCTTAATGTTTTTCACATGAATTGTACATTTCTTATATACTAGAATGTTGTCATTCATTTGACCTGGGATAATAAATTATATATTATCATTTTAAAGTATTTTTATTTCTCAACCGTTTCTCACAATGAAAATCCTGAAATGTCTAGAGTTAGTGTAAAAATACAGACCTTATCTCAAAAATAGGAGGAATATAATGAATATTGCATTAAATGCTCACCTTGTTTAGCTATACAATATGACATTTTGAATTATGTTGATGTGTTACTTTATAGTGCACTTACAGGTGCCCAGAAAATGCACAGAAGACAGACTTCTTCAGATATTCAGTCTAAGGCCCCAGTTCAGAAAAACACTTAAGGATGTGCTTAATTTTAGGCAAATAATTACATCCCGAAGTTCAGAGGGGTAGCCATGTTAATCTGTATCCACAAAAACAACTAGGAGTCCGGTGGCACCTTAAAGACTAACAGATTTATTTGGGCAAGCTTTTGTGGGTAAAAAACCCCACTTCTTCAGATGCATCCTTGTTGTTTATATCCCAAAGTTAAGGACTTGCTGAAGTACTGTCCTGAAAAGGGATACTTTCCTAACTCCCATGATCTTCAGTGGGCTTTGGGTCAGGCCCCAAACTTACAAATGGATCTGCATGAGCATATCCCTGTGTTTGCACAGAGCTCTGTTGACTCCAATGCAGCTGCACACCAGTGCCCATTCTATTTGTGTACGTATGATTGCAATATTAGGGACTTGATAACAAACCACTGAAGATATAATACACACCATCAAGGCGGAAAAATCACAGGTTATGCATATACAGTTATGCACTCACTTTGTTCAGGCAGGCATATGTCTAGTCTGTGTCTTTGATGGGTTTCTTTTGTTGTTAAAAATACACTGCTGCTTACACTTTAGGAGTGACTCAAGCAAGATTACGATGTAGGCTTGTTAAGTACATTTGCAATAACGTGAATAGTGTCTTCCAAATCTATAAAGTTCTGATTAATAAAAACATTCTTATTCAAGACAGCACTTAAGCAAGTACTTAAATTAAGCATGTGCTTAAGTTGCATGGAAGTTAATTGCCCCATTATGTTTAAAAAATTACCATCCCATATCATTATTACATCTTTGTCTGCTTGCTATAGAACTAGTGATAACGAAGGGGCTGACTTCCCTTCCATCTTCCTATTGACTTTAATGGGAGCTGGCTCAGGCTCTCATGCTCTTCCTAGAGCTCTGCTCATTTCTGTTTATTTTAATGAGAGTTCATGCAAAGACAGAAAAAGATCACGGAAGGGGCAGCCATCTTAGCTTTGGCTTAAAAGGCTTAGACACCAAAGTAAGTGGGGGAAGAGGGGGATGCAAACTGTTCTGTGCTTTTTAACTTTTACCATCTTCATTTAAAATGCAGCAGCCCTTGTAATTTGGCTTTGGTATTTTAAAAGTTCAGAATCGTGCGGCTGTGGAGGAAGAAAAGAATCTTGCAATATGTGTACCACAAGCGGTGTTCATCATCCTTCCGCATTTAACTGCAATCAAATTTCATCTGTCACTACACATATTTTGGTTTATCATGTAATTGACAGCTTTGATGGTTTTTAATGGCTGTCTGGTTAATGACAGGTTTTTTTCCATTATTTATGCATAATAAAGACAAATTCATGTAATGTAATATAAATTAGGAGACTGCTCAAATCAACAATCAGTGCATGAGGAGCCTGGTAGAACTATAGTCTGCTACAATGAGATGAGAGTGGACTTATTCTATTGAAAATAATTGCATGGGCAGTTTCACTCCATTACTTCTAGAGGAATTGAATTCGTGTTTTACTTATTAGCTCACAAATACCCAGTATTATAGTGTGTTGTTTACTCTAACTTCTGTTCTGAAGCTACCGTCGTATAGAACATTCATGTATTGTAATATCCCAATAAACAGATCCTATGAGAAGCAGGTATTTTGATTTTGGAACTGTCAATTTTGTATAAGATGAATTTATAAAGATTTGAAAAGAAATAAGTCAGTGCTTTCTGAATCTTTCATGGCAATCAGGATAATGTTATGTTTCATTAAAATAATATACATGCTTTAAAATCTAGAAGCAGCATGCAGTCACCCTCATTCCCCGTGCTCCTAGTTTTCTGATTGCCCATCAAGACTTGTGTGCATATATCACAGCTTGGGGGAGGGATAGCTCAGTGGTTTGAGCATTGGCCTGCTAAACCCAGGATTGTGAGTTCAATCCTTGAGGGGGCCACTTGGGGATCTAGGGAAAAATCAGTACTTGGTCCTGCTAG